AAGGGAGACCCCTCTTTACCCATCCTAGGCAGGATAGCTAATGATTAATTAGGGTGGCTGGGACCATGACGAAGCCCCATTGTCTCAGTAATTGTCACAGCAGTAACCATTTTAATTTTGGGTCCCTGACTTCTGAACTCTGTCACCAAGTTTGTTGCAAAAAGCCTAAAAGCCGTAAACCTTCTAATGTTGGGCTACTCAGGGGTACAAACAGCTAAGCCTATAGCCAGGAGAGAATCAAACCTATCTGAAAATGACAGGGAAGAGTTTCAGTCCTTTAACAGGATACTTACCTACGCCCAAACTTAGCATAAAGAAGCTACACAAAATAGACTTTGCCCTTCAGCACCCCTCAAGAATGAGGTATGAACATTTAAAAAGGGAATTTGTTGCGCTTGCAATGCCTGCAAGACTTAGCTGGACCCCTATTCTGCTTTTGTTGCCCAATGCAAGGTGTATGTGATATACCTAAATTCCTGTTCAGCTTAACTCTGCTTATTTTTAGGAAACAGGATGTCTGTGATCATGGATTTCTTCTTAGGCAGCTTATTCATCCCCTGAAGAACCCCTAGCTTCATTCTAATCCAATTTCCGTGCTAAATGACATTTGCATGTGCACCATGACGATTGACAATCACCATGACAATGACTGGAAGAGACCAAAAAAGGACAAAAAAGAAGAGGCTCCTTGATTCCAAGAAAATCTTCATCCCTTCCCAAGAAAAAGCAGGAATATTCCTTCCCTTGCTCTTAATGCCCAGTCCCTTTACTAAGTAAGATACCGTGCATCTGTGACTTCCCAGTTCTCAGGGGTTGGAAAGTTATTTGTAAGCTATACTCCCACTTCTCCAACTCCATGGTCATTAGACAAAGCCTGCACTGCTTGACACTTGGTTTTGTGTATTGGTTTCTGGACACCACACAGAAAAGAGCCCCTTTAGGGGTAACTGGTACCCCCAGTAACAATATAGTAGAAAGGAAGACTAAAGTCTGTCCAGAAACCTGAACAGATTTTTGTCAAAAACCATTGTCCACTCTGCGGGCCCAACAGACTTTGTCCCACACCACTGTATGTTCTTCAAACACATTGGATTCTCCCTAGAAATTATTTATTACCCCTCAACAGAATTCCTCTTCATCCTGCTTCCATAACCTGTTTTGCCAGGATCCTAGCCCCCATTCTTTCTGTAACCTCAAGATGATATACAAGCTTCTATACTCATTGAGGGGTTGAGTTTTCATTCTGAAGCCTCGTGCATATACACATTAAGTAAATTTGTATGCCTTTTCTGCAACTAATTTGCCTTTTGTGAGTTGCTTTTTCAATGAAACTTCAGAGGGCCAAAAGAAAAGCCTTGGTCCCCACACTCACAAATAGCAAGTGGCATAACTCCTTCCAACATTACTTTCATAAAGTCAAAATGTTTTTCTTCATGAAGTATTTATTTTATAATATCTATAGTCTGAGAAATAGTTCACCATTTTCTCTATTATCCTGCACAACACAGCAGTTATGAACAGAAACTTCAGCATGAGACAGATCTGGCTTTAAATATCAGCAATGTGTTCATCTCTAAGTGACTGGGCTGGATACTTAATTTCTCTGAGCCTCATCTGTGGGATAAGTGTAACCCAGGATCCCCAGGTCACTGCAGAAAAAGTACCCATTTGTAACTGTTGCACCCTGAGTTTTTGTTGTTTCAAAAAGTTTCCAGGAACAACCCCAGCCCCTGCAAAACAAAAACCAATTGGATCCAGAGATGCCTGAGTTGGAGATGAACTTTTTTTTTTTTTTTTGAATTTTCCACATTACCATACTAAAACCAAGACGGAAGCCTAGTCGTCATTTTCTATATATGTGATGTATGAAGAAACATGATCAAGGGCTGCACCTGCCCTGACTTTATCCCACCTTTATATACAACGACTCAGCTGAACAGCACAATAAAGGCCCCACTTTCACCTTTGTTCCAGGAGGCACTGCTTTGGGAACTACTCCAATGTTCTCTTTACTTGTTGCAAGTAATCAAATACATTTGTTAAATCCTCCCTGGTTGGAGTCATTGGACTGACACCTGCCAAGCGATGGAACCTGTCGCTTGGGTAATGTAAACTCAGCACTAACTGTTTAACAGTGACCTTCTGAGGATTAAATGAGATCATGCATATATAAAACACAAGTATAGTGACTGTAAAAAAGCCAGTACTTAGCAGTTGATAAAAATTAGTTTCATTCTCATCCCCGACACCACTGTCTGTTACCTGCCTTAAATTGCAATGATCTGGCTGTATTAAGGCCCTCATTTGAACAAACCAATTATAAAAATACATTTTTGAGACAACTGGGGAAATTTGTATAAGACTGGGTTTAGATGATTTGAAGAAAATGCAGTATTAATTTTACTAAACATGATAAAAGCACTGTGGTTATGAAAAAAAGTTGACTAAAGATTCATTCTAAAATGCTTATGTGGGAGGCTGGGCAGAATGGCTCACACCTTTAATCTCAATGTTTCTGGAGGCCGAGGCAGAGGCCTCTTGAGGCCAGGAGTTCAAGACAAGCCTGGGCAAGACCCGGTCTCTACAAAATAAAAATAAAAATTAGCCGGGTTGGTGGTGTGCCTGTAGTCCCAACTACTTCGGAGGCCGAGACAGGAAGATTGCTTGAGCCCAAGAGTTTGGGGCTCCAGTAAGCTATGATTGTGCAACTGTACTACAGCCTGGGTGACAGAGCAACACCCTGTCACAAAAACATACAACACACACACACACAAATACACAGAAAATACTTAGGGGTGAAAATGTATGGCATGTGGGAAGAAAAGGGAGGTTAAAGAGACAGAACACTTTCCATCTGGCAAAATGTTAAAAGTTGCTGAAGTTGTGAATGGGCACACGAGGGCTTCTTTTGTTTTTAGTTTGTTTGTTTGTTTTGCTTATTTATTTTTCTTTTTGTATAAGGGCTTCTTTATACTGTATTCTTTTATTTTTTTAATTTGTTATTTATTTATTTATTTATTTATTTATTTATTTATTTTGAGATGGAGTCTCACTTTGTCACCCAGGCTGGAGTGCAGTGGCACAATCTTGGCTCATTACAACCTCTGCCTCTCAGGCTCAAGCAGTTTTCCTGCCTCAGCCTCCCAAGTAACTAAGATTACAGGTGCACGCCACCACGCCAGGCTAATTTTTGTATTTTTAACAGAGACAGGGTATCACCATGTTGGCCGGGCTGGTCTCGAACTCCTGAGCTCAGGTGATCAGCCTACCTCCGCCTCCCAAAGTGTTGGGATTACAGGTGTGAGCCACTGTGCCACTGAGCCTGGTTTTTTTTTTGTTTTTTTTTTTTTTGAGATGGAGTCTGGCTCTGTTGCCCAAGCTGGAGTGTAGTGGCACAATCTCGGCTCACTGCAAACTCCACTTCCCGGTTCAAGCAATTCTCCCTGCCTCAGCCTCCTGAGTAGCTGGGATTATAGGCGCCCAACACCAAGCCCAGCTAATTTTTTTGTATTTCTAGTAGAGACGGGGTTTCACCATGTTGGCCAGGCTGGTCTTGAACTCCTGACCTCAGGTGATCCTCCTGCCTCGGCCTCCCAAAGTGCTGGGATTACAGGCATGAGATACTGCGCCCGGTCTGGCCTTTTTTTTTTTTTTTAAAAGGGGTTTTTTTTTTGGGAGGGGGCTTTCCCATTTTTTTTTTTTTTTTTTTTTTTTTTTTTTAAGATAGGGTCTAGCTCTGTTGCCCAGGCTGGAGTGTAGTGATGCCATCTGGGCTCACTGCAACCTCTGCCTCCCAAGTAGTGAGATTACAGGCATGCGCCATCACGCCTAGCTAATTTTTGTATTTTTGGTAGAGATGGGGTTTCACCATGTTAGCCAGGCTGGTCTGGAACTCCTGACCTCAGGTGATCCATCCACCTCAGCCTCCCAAAGTGCTAAGATTACAAGCATGAGCCACTGCGCTTGGCCTTATACTATATTCTCTACTTCTGTGTTTCTTGAAAATTTCCAAAATATAAAGTTTTAAAATAGAATTTTAAAATGACATGAAAACGCTCCTAGTACATTGTTGAACCATAAAAAGACAGGTCACAGGCCGGGCATGGTGGCTCACGCCTGTAATCCCAGCACTTTGGGAGGTCGAGGCGGGCGGATCATGAGGTCAGGAGATCGAGACCACGGTGAACACAGTGAAACTCCGTCTCTACCGAAAATACAAAAAATTAGCCGGGCGTGGTGGTGGGTGCCTGTAATCCCGGCTACTCGGGAGGCTGAGGCAGGAGAATGACGTGAACTCAGGAGGCGGAGCTTGCAGTGAGCAGAGATCAGGCCACTGCACTCCAGCCTGGTTGACAGAGTGAGACTCGGTCTCAAAAAAAAAAAAAAAAAAATTAAGACAGGTCACAAAGTATTCAGAATTCATTTAGGAATAAAAGTACATCATTCACGAATCCATTCCACAAGTATTTACCAAATGCCTACTATGTGTCAGGCACTGTTCAAAAACAATGGTGTTCAGGCTGGGTGCAGTGGCTCACCTCTGTAATCCTAACACTTTGGGAGGCCCAGGTGGGAGGATCACTTGAGCCCAAGTATTTGAGACCAGCCTGGGCAGCATAGTGGGCCCCTGTCTCTACAGAAAAAAAAGAAAGGAAAAAAAAAGAAAAAAAGACCAGGGGTGGTGGCGCATGCCTGTAGTCTCAGCTTACTCAGGAAGCTGAGGCAGGAGGATCGCTTGAGCACAGGAGGTCAAGGCTGCAGTAAGCTGTGATGGAGCCACAACATTGCAGCCTGGGCAACAGAAGAAGACGCTATTTCAAAAAAAAATGTTGGGAGCTGAGGGAGAAAGAGGATTGTTCTGCAAAAATGTCAGTCTCAGCTCCCAGGATGGTAATTTTCAACTGACAGAGAAAGTTAGAGCACTTCTAAAAGCTCATGCATCCATCAAAGGTGGAACGTCTTTAAACTCCATTTCTGTTTGTTTCAAAAATAGACTGTACCTGAGGCCAATTTGTGGAATTCGAGAAGTTTGATTTCACGATATCCAGTCTCCTCTTGGTACTCAGTTTCACATACCCAGGACTTGCTGTCTTTTTAATACTATCCCTTATCAGATAAACTCTGCAAGGCAAGGCCCTTATCTGTTTCACATTTGCATACTTGAAGTAATGAAGATCATGCCTGAAAGATAAAGTGTAGATGACCAAACCGTTGGTTGCATAAGGAGAGAGAGAAAGAGAGAGAAGGAGAGAGGAAGAAATTATCATTATTGTTTACCTTTTACTTAAAAATTCATTTGCTCTAACTCATTTTACATTGCATCTGAGGTCTTTCATTTCTAATTGTGGAATAAAAGGCTATCTCCCTCATTAAATAGACTTCAGGCAATAGCAAGCAGGTTAGAAATATATTTTCAGGTATAAGGGAGTCTCCTCTATCCTAAACCACGCCCTAGAGTAAATAATGATTTTTAACATTTTCTCTGGGGTGCGGAGAGCAATATCTGTTTCTCTTCATGTCCTTCCCCACCTTCACAGTCAGCAAGATGTTTAAGCTGTTCTGACCCACAAAATGGGGAACCTCAGACCTAGCTGATAGAGTCCTCCCTCTGATCAGTGGCAAGGAGTAGCCATTATCATTTTTTAATGGTAATAATATTTAATTACTTTTTAAACTTATTTTTTAATGGTAACAACCTTTATATTATACTGGGTGTCTGTGTATTGAGTTGCCATTCCAAAGGACTATACAGAAAAATTTACATCTAAATGCTTGACAAAAAAAACATACAATTTTTTTTGAAAAGGAATATATTTGAGATAGAGTCTTGCTGTTTTTCCCAGGCTGCATTGAGTAGTGTGATCTCGGCTCACTACAACCTCTGTCTCCGGGATCAAGTGATCCTCCTGCCTCAGCCTCCAGAGTAGCTGGGACTACAGGCATGCACCTCCACACGCAGCTAATTTTTCTATTTTTATTTAGTTATTTATTCTGAGACGGAGTTTCGTTCTTGTTGCCCAGGCTGCAGTGCAATGGTGTGGTCTCAGCTCACTGAAAACTCTACCTCCTAAGTTCATGTGATTCTCCTGCCTCAGTCTCCTGAGTAGTTGGGGTTACAACCGTGAGCCACCACGCCTGGCTAATTTTTGTGTATTTTTAGTAGAGATGGGGTTTCACCATGTTGGCCAGGCTGATCTCGAACTGCTGAACTCAAGTGATCCACTGTGCTCGGCCTTATAATGTGTTTTAAATGTTCAGAGGAAGGAGATATTTTTTTTTCCCTTTGTCTAGAAGAATAAAAGAAGGCTTCACTGACAAGATGACATTTGAAAACAAAAAATTCAGTGAAGTAAAGCACCAAATCATAGTCCTGGCAGGAAATAGGGCACAGTCCAGGAAGGCAATTGAAGAGAGTTTAATGGAGGGACTTTCAGGTACAGACTGAAAAAGTACCCACTTGTAACTGGTGCACTTTCAGTTCTTGCCTTGTTTCAGAAGAGTTCCAGGAAGAAGACCAGTCCTGGCAAAACAAAAATGGGTTGGAACCAGAGATGCCTTAGTTGACGATATGAACTTTGGTGAACACTCATCATTATCGTACTAAAATCCCCACCCAGGGAAGGGCTTATTCACCATCTTCTGTACATTCAATGTATTAATATGTAGAAGCATGATGGGTACTATGCCTGTGCTGCCTTTATTCCACCTCTACATACAATGACTTAGCTAAACAGCCTAAGAAAAACCGTTTTCACCTTTGCTCTGGAGGCACTGCTTTGGAGAATTATCCCTTGGGTTCGACTTGTTCCAAGTAATAAAATCCTCTTGTTAAAACCTCCTTGATTGTGTCCTTGGACTGTCACTTGCCAACCATCTACCCCTTAAGTAGGTAACAAGATCATTTGCAAAGACTAGGGAAAGGCTTTTGTCACCAAAAACAGGTGGTGATGTACCCTGAGGCCACAGCCATGGGTCTGAAGAAGCAAGGAAAAAGCATTTTCAAAGTGCGTAAGACTTGTAGCCACAATAGAGGGTCCTGACAGGAGCTGTGGCTTCTACCGTACCACTGTCATCTGCTGCCTGTAGGGAGGGAGATGGGGGGATAGATATCCTGAAGTCTCTGCCCTTCTACCCTTTGGAGGATCCCCACCAGAAGCAAAGGCTGCTGACACAGTTCTCAGAAGTCAGCCCCTGGGGCTCAGAGCAGGCTGGAAAAGAACAGAGAATGGAAGCTGGGAGGAAGAGGAAAGTAGAGCTAAAGAATAACCAGCCCAGGTATCCCCCTGCAAGGATTTGCACTCTAGAGGGAGAGCTAGATGTTAATAAATAACTACCTTAATGGGTAAATTGGAGTAAGAGTTATTAGAGTAATAGATAATGTTTACTGAGCATCATGCACCAGACACTGCATGAAAGGCTTCACATGTATACCATTGCTCCATCTTTGCAACCTTCCTATGAAGCTGTCATTACAATTAAGCCCATTTTATAGAGGAGGCTTACAGGGGATAAATAATATGCCCAAGATGACCCAGCCAGTGAGGCTGGTTGAGCTAAATGTGAATCCAGACGGTGTAAGCCTGGAGCTCACACTCAACCAAAATGCCATGCTTTTTGGTCAAGAGCACAGTTACTGCCTGCATCTGGATCTGTTGGATTTAAATGCTGCCACAGCAGGAGACAGGTTCAGATTTTGAAGAGAAGCTTGCAGAGCATTTATCCCTCCAAAGTTTACTAAGGCTATTAATAGTTGATGACTTACTTGATCTCTATCTTTTCTGGGTCCCAACTGCTCTGGAGCTTCATTTCAGTAGCTTTGCCCATTCCACCTGCCCTCTATTAATGTTCTCTTAATAGGAAAATTACATATTTCTCTGACTTCATCTGTACCTGAACTTGCTCCCTAGCAACTGCCACCTGACCCTATGCCCCCACCACCTGATCTTTTTGCAAATCCCTGTAGGACCAAAGAATTAAAAAGTGTCTAGCAGATGCAATTTGCATTGTGCTTTTTGTGGTGGGTTGTCCTATTTTTTTATTTTTTTGAGGCAAAGTCTTGCTCTGTCGCCCAGGTTGGAGTGCTGTGGTCCAACCTCGGTTCACTGCAACCTCTGCCTTCTAAGCTCAAGCAGTTCTCTTGCCTCAGCCTCTTGGGTAGGTGGGATTACAGGCGTATGCCACCACATCTGACTAATTTTTGTATTTTTAGTAGAGATGGGGTTTTGCCACGTTGGTCAGGCTGGTCTCAAACTCCTGACCTCAAGTGATCTGCCTGCCCCGGCCTCCCAAAGTGCTAAGATTGCAGGTGTGAGCCGCTGTGCCTGGACTGCAGGGGGGTTGTTTTAATACAAAATTGCTTTTCTTCAGCTTGTTCTCCATTTCCAGGGCCCCCATCCACATTATCTGCTCTTTCCCAAGCACACACTTGAAGTATCCCGGCAGGCCTGTTGAGTTCAAAGACCCCATGCAAGGTGTCCTGAGAGTCAGAGTGACAGTACTATGATGAGGCTGACCCTAGACTTGCTTATTTCTCTGAAAACAACTCTATCTTACATCACAAATACAGGGGAAAGGGGTGCACAGTCCAGAGTTCATCCCTGTTGTAATCTGCTTCAGCAGTAGCTGCTGCTGGTGCTGGGAGTGGGGTGTGGGGTAGGGGTGGTTGTAGTGATGGGCATCTCAACCAGACACAAACCTATGTGGAACCCTCAGGAAGGCTCAGCCAATAGCAATACATGACTCGGCTGCTGAAGACTCTCCTGCTTGTGACTGTATTCCAGTTTGAGATACAGGAACAAGGACAGTCCTGACTAAAGCCCTGGCCCAGCCCAGCAAAGTGATCCAAAGATTGAATCAATAGCGGAAACAAAGATGTGTTTGAGAATGGGCTGTGGCGAGACTGTCAGGTAGATATGTATAAAGAAGATAGAAGAATGGGAACATGAGTTCAGAGGGTACCTTGAGGGCTCTGCCTAACTCTTCTCTTAACCCCTCTACCCATCCTCTGTGTCTAGTTCACAGCAAATAGGTAGGAGTCTCTGCTTGTAAATGGAGCCCAGCTCCACTTGTCTCCTAGAACCAGTATGGAGGGAGGGGCAGGGAAGAATCATAAAATCAAAATATTAGAAATACCAGGGACCTTAGAGGTGATCTAGCAAAGTCCAGCCAAGCAGTCTAAGATGGAACTGAAGCCCAGCCATTTTAAGGGGCTAGCTCCAGATCACACAGTTTAGTGTCAGGTCTGAAATGAGGCCCTGAGATATCTGCCTGTGACCTGTAGTGTCTCCCTAGGGATTTAGACAATTTTCCTATTCCAATGCAGTAGCAGTCCCCAGAAAAATAATAATTTTAAAATATCTCATATTTTTTAAAGGGGGGAGGCGTTGTGGAATAGAATATGGAGAGACTGAGAAAATTTTCCCAACTCAGAAACATAATATTTTCTTTTTTTCTTTTTTTTTTTTTTGAGACGGAGTCTCACTCTGTCACCCAGATTGGAGTGCAAGATCGAGTACGATCTTGGCTCACTGCAACCTCCGCTCGGCTGGGTGCAGTGGCTCATGCCTGTAATTCCAGCACTTCAGGAGGCCGAGGCGGGGGGATCACCAGAGGTCAGGAGCTCGAGACCAGCCTGGGCAACATGGTGAAATCCTGTCTTTACAGAAAATACAGAAATCAGCCAAGCGTGGTGGTGGGTGCCTGTTATCCCAGCTACTCAGGAGGCTGAGGCAGGAGAATCACTGGAACTCAGGAGGCGGAGGTTGCAGTGAACCAAGATTGCGCCCATGAACTCCATCCTAGGCGACAGAGATAGACTCCTTCTGAAAGAAAATAATAATAATAATAATAATGTTTTCATGATGCTATGTTGATATCTCCTTCATTTTAACATATTCAGAGGCTGCTGGCCATAGTCACGTGTGAAACTTGGGAATAAAGTAATAGAACCATGGGAAGCACTTGTATGTCTATTGACTTATGTGCTCACAACTATACAGATAATAATTGGGGGCATATGTAATCCACGTTTCTCAATTGACTGACAGTTGTCAGAGGCCAGTGATCTGCTGTTGCTATTCATCCTGCCTTCTAGCCGCCTCCACATTCTAAGGCAACTACAATATGTGAGAAGAAATTGATAGGTCACCAAAGTGTGGTATCATATGTATACGTTCTATATTATAGAGCACAT